CCAAGGCGGGTGAAGGAACCCTTGCTCTGTGCCAGCCTCTAATTGTATGAATACATTTCCTGGTGACCAGGAAACACAGGGCTCACATCTGTGGTACACACTCTGGGTCCCCCCAGTGTTTCTCTGACCATGAAAAACCTCTTCTTCAGCAGTCACTCAGTAATCTATGCCTCCCACTACCCCTTCAGTGTTAGGATCTGGAATAGGACTGAGAGCAGAAGTGAGACAAGCGGTCCAAGGAGTATCCAGACTATGAGGACCATCAAGACCGGGACAGGTGCCAGTCTTCTGGAGATGACCTGTGTTCTGGGGAGCGGTCGTGGGAACAGTACTAAGGCCTCAGTGACACTGATCTCTTTTCATGGTTCGCAATCCAGGGAACATGAGCCTCAGCAAGACTGCACTGGCGAGTGCTATCCTGAACCCTGCCTTTGTCCCATATCAGGAGAGTGAAGGGGTGTCTGCGATGCCTGTCTTCAGAATCTGAGACTTGATGGCTTCTCATGGGAGTGTGCTGGCATTCCAATCCCCTTGGGGACAAGCACTACTGTAGGGATGATACCCTGAACCAAGGCAGACTTACCTCGAGACTGGGGCACACTTGGCATCAGTGCCACCAGTACTGTCATAGCCAGAATAAACGTTGCCGTTCACAGGGCTTCTGCAGTCAATGGTGCCTCTAGGTGCTAGAGGTCACTGTTGCTGCCCAATGCTGATGATATGGGCTGGGCAGGGTTGGACCACTCCACCTGAGTCAAAGTTCGACTTCCTGGTGGAGACAATGAGCCACCAAACACAGGCCCAGCCTCCCCTCCCTACTTGTCCTTGGCTTTTTAGGATAGAGAGGAGCAGTCCTTGGCTGAAGCCTTCCTCATTGGGAATGGTGAAGGCGAGTGGTGCTGACTGAAGGATGGAACCGAAGGAGCATTCCGCACCAGAAGCACAATGCCTAAGGTGGAGACAGGCACCTTCTCCCCTGCTGGGGACAATGCTAATTCCATTTAGTGTGCATTCAAGCAAATGTCTCTATCCTTCTTGGTATGGAGCTTGAATTATCTGCTAATCTGGCACCTATCACTAATGTGCCCCTCACTGACACATCACAGACAATTATCATGTGAGTCGTTCATGAGCATAGGATGCCTGCACAGTACACAAGGTTTGAAGCCTGAGAATCAAGGCATGCCTTGTCCTTAGGCAAATGTCCCAACCAGGGCGATTTAACTCTGCTAAACTAACTTATTAACTGGTTGAATAACTATCTACAGAGTTGCTAAAAAAGGAGAGGAGTCAAAGGGCTGGGGAGTGTGTTGTGCCATGATGGTGCCATTCCAGAGATCACCAAACCGTTCCCTTTGGATGCTACTAGGGGAAAAACTTCTGACACTGGTGCATGCGGCAAGCATACACATCTAACTAGAATGGATATGAGCAATCATGTGAAGAAGAATGATAAACTGCTTTGAACAATATTTACACTGTGTTATGAACAAAGACTTGCCTTCAATGGTAGAGATAAATATCCTTTCTGTACATCTGATTGTTCTTTCAGGAATGTATTTACCATGGCCAAATCAAGAATAAACTTAAGTTTTTGTACAAATGAAGAATTTATGCAGCTTCTTGTATTTTATCAAAATTTTGAGATTATATCTGTGATAATCTACAACCCCCACATAGAGCTGGAAAGGATTAAAGGAAATTACCGGACCCAGCTAGCCCCATCTCCAGCTCTGCAGAACATATTCCAACTAGAGACAGAGTTGAAAAAGGAGCAACCCAGTTCAGAAGGGAGAGGCTGGGGGAGGAAGACAGACCTACCCTAATGGTTCTAGACAAAAGGGGCTGAAGAAGCCTCCCTTTGAGAACATGACTATATGCTGAGGCTGATTGGGGCTGATGGTTTGATTTCTATATCCTTCCCCCCCCTGCTTAATCTGGGACCAGCAGCTGAGGGAGAAAAGCAACAGCAGGAAAGAACCCAGGAAGGGTAACTCAGAAGGCCCCCTCGGAGGCCAAACACTGTTGACCCACCTAGGTCTCTGGGTTAGAGTCTGATAGAGTGGGCAGGCTCAGGTTCCTTATTTCACTACCCTAATGACAAGGTGGGAGTTACCCACTAGACCATCCAACCCTCCAATGATCCTATTACAATATCATATAATCATATCACCATATTGATAACACACAGTATGTGACATATGTTACTGATATTCTCTATTAGTGTGATTTTTGGAGGAGAGAAGGAAGAGACCAATACTTATTTTTATTCTGATCATGGCTTGTAAAAAGCTTCAGAGAGTCTCCATTTGCCTCAGCACCCAAAACTAATAAACATGACATGAAGTATGGCAGCACTACAAGTTACAGGATGCTAAGCATTTTAAAATTCTTACCAGCTCAATAATGTAAACACTGCCAAACTGACATTCCTCAAGTAAGAGTAGTAGAGTTTGCGTCAGAACAGGCTTAAGACACCAAATGCACGTGGGGAAAAAACCTGAATTGCTACATGTATAGTAACTCATGTAGGACAGCTACTAAAATTTTCTAGGGGACATTTGGATAAAAAAACTGTAGCAGTTCAAGTTTTATTTTTGCAGCAATAAAAAAAAAGAGCATTCATAGCTACTTCTGAAAGACCCTGCAAGCTCAAGACAAATCCTTAGTATTACCTTCATTGTCACTAACCACAAGGTGAAACACCCAGCTGTTTTCTACTATGGGGAGCAGCTGGATTACAACATCTGCTTCTTCAAAGGAGAGATGGATACATATGCCAGTGCTGCAATATAGTCTTCATCACCAATAACATTTCACAGGTAGCAGAATATGCAACCATATTAACCAATTGCTTAAAAGAACTCTTTGTCCATGTACTTAAGTGCTTTGTTGCACTTTTGTCATTCAGGAATTCTGCTCTGAGTATTTTCAGTTCTAAATTTAAATCACACGAAGATCTGTTTGTCAAGGAGTTCTGGAAGAAAGAGGAATACTGGAGAGGAAATGTGGACTAGGCCCTTGAGCAATCTTTTCATAGCCAATGGACACTAAGAATCTCTGTTCTAAGAGGATGATTTGCTGCTTCAGATGCCAGATGAATTTGAGTATCCAGACTTTTAAAAAGATAGTACACAATCAGGAATACAAGGTAATCAGGGAAACACAGGTTCTATGAGCCTGTTGCATGCTCATATGGTGAAGTATCTCTATTGTAGTGCAAATTCCGTAGTATTCAATACTAAAACTAAACAACAATAAGTTGAATTGAATAACACCAGTATCTTTCTTCATATGTGATAGCTGATGGTGAAAAATAAACTATATGCGTGAAGCTTTTTCCTTACATTTCTGTTAAAACAATTCTAGCACAGCACTACAAACTGAAACAGAAAATAAAATAATTGGATCACTTAGGATTCTTACAAATTTTCTCATGGGAAACTTAATTTTGCCTATGTATCCTGTAATCTAAGGTGTTATTCCCAAGAATCTTGATTTTCTGGTTGTTCCAAATGTATATTTGAAAGATACTTTAGAAGCATATGTTCCGTAGTGTTTGTAGTCTCTTGGCTATACTTTCCCCACAAAGAATTTTCTGCATTTAAGAAAAGCTTTGGTAACAATGGGACTGTAGACACACATGCATGCACAGTGGTAGCACGCATTCATGATTTATCAATCTATGTAAGAAGCCCCAGTCAAAACATTTTTTCTTGCTTAGATCTAAAGGAAGATACAGGACAATATAATTTGGGAGTGATTACTAGTCTAGATTTAAAGTGTCTGGTTATTTTCTTGAAAGAGCCACTCCACTAAATTAAAATGTTCATTCCATGAGCTGAAATATTAATACTTATTATTTTTCTGAGATCTTCACACTTCAAAGCACTGAACAAATATTAATTAGCCTCATCATATACCTGTGAGGGAATCAGTTATTGCTAAGGTACTGTTATAACTGTTCTACAGATAAGGAAACTGAAACCCAGAAAGCTTAACCAACACAGCCAAAGTCAGACAGCGAATCAGTAGCAGAGGAAAATTAGAATTTCATCTCCCAGTTCCTTGTGGTCAGTCTTTTAGCTCACATAAGGAAAAAGCATATTACATATAATTATTAGTATAATTATTAGTACCTCTTTTAAAGCTAATTCTATATAATAACAGAACTCATTTATCTTTCTCTACCAAACTACATTAAACATTTTTTTTAAATCTCAATTTTCTTTCTCATTATATGGTACCCTTTTTTCTTCTACCTCTTGCTCTGTCCTAAAGTTACAAAATAAAAGTACTTTTAACATACTTTGTGTTCATAACAATACTTAGCACATTTGGGCCACGTTCTTTGTTAGTCCTTAGAACAGGATTAATAACAATAACTTAATAATTTTACGTATCATATTACCAGGCAGTCCAAACAGACATCAAATATGCTATTTTGCAATAAATTATTATTTTGATCACAATTGCAATTTGAAACCAAGATGCAAGAATTTCAGAAAACATGCAATTCTGTTGCTTCTAGTCTTTTTTCTGAAGTCTGTGGATTCATTTAAGCATTTTTTTAAAATGCTGTTTTTAAACCTAAAGATAAGTTTAAAATCTAAACCCTGTAAATAGCCCATTCCCAATTTGTAAACAAACTGTATTTCTCCTTATCTTCTTTCAACAATTGTGCATTTTAAAATGTGATTGCTCATTTAATAGCTTTTATTGTGTTTAAAGTACCTTGACACTAAAGATGATAAAAACTAAGAATATCTAGAGCTAATGTCGTGTTCTAAAAATGCAGTATAACAATGTGTCCAGCTGAAGAAAAAACAGTTTGAGGTAATGATAGTAAATAATGTAATGAACAAATAATGGCACATATGACATATTTACTACTACATGAAGTGCTGCATACTTGATTAATATAACAAAGGAAAAATACTCATCAACTAAAACAGCATCCATACATTAGAGACAGTAATCAGATAAGGAAAGAGACTCACCACTTTGAGTAATGAAAGGATACTGAGGAATCAGTGAAGTGCCCAGAGTACTGGGCAATCTTAACTTGGAGTGCGGCGAGAGCAGTGATGGAGCCGGAAGCATGAGATTTGAGCCGGTCTGTAATAGGAAAGGCAAATCAGAAAGTAAGTTGTAATTTCCTGGGTTACGTACTGATGCAAGAATTGTATGTAAGTATTTACTTACCATAAATAATTATTAAATTCAAGACACACTGAGTGTCAAATTGAAGGCATCATGCTTTTGCAGGGAAAACATTTAGGAATAGAAAGTTGAAAAAAGATGGTTTGACATATACATGAAAGTTTAAATGCTTAACAAAAACAGAGTAGTAAAAAACTGATAGAATAAATAAAACACCCCAGAGCACAAATATAATGTACAGTTATGTATATGGGTAGTAACTCTTATTCATATTGGGCTACAAACTATTTATATGCTAGACCAAATTCAGAAATGGAAAATAACACTCCATTCTGGTATTTTAAATTAAACTGTGTTTAAAGAGAGCACTTATGAGGAAAGGGGTTAAATATAGTCATAGTGAAAATTATTCTTTGCAAACTGTGCAACATATTTACACAAAACACCAGGTACTTGTTTATGAAGATTACACAAAAGACACCTGTAGCAAACATGCTTATTTCCATAATGACATAGATAAAATAGCTGCAATCTGATTTGCTATAGAGTTTCATTGCATACCTGCAGTTACCACAAATACAAACCCTTTTCAAAAGATAGCTTCCCCAATTATCACCTCTAATAGCATTTTGTCCTTTTCATATGTGTTCATTTTTTTTAATTGTATCCTTTGGTATATATGGTTGTGACTATTTTCTTCCACTATTTGATCTGAGGAAGTGGGTCTGGCCCACGAAAGCTCATCATCTAATAAACCATCTTTTAGTCTTTAAAGTGCTACATAGTCCTGTATTTTGTTTCAGCTACACCAGACTAACACGGCTACATTTCTATCCCTTTTCAAACTATTACTAATGTATTATCCTAGACAACGCAGGTAAAATGTATGAAGAGAATCTGAGGCATTTATATGGTCAAACGAAACATAAGTTACACCTATTGTCATTGACTGCTTTTGATCATAAATTGGTGAGAAAATATTGCATAAATGCCTGTGACCATATTCACTTATTTTCCTTGAAATAAAATCAGTTTAGTTGGCTGAAATTGGTTTTTCCCAGTAACACATATAAAAACAAAAAAAAGGAAGCCAATAATTATATCATCAATCATGTTCAGCCTATGCAGGTCAATAGAAATATTTCTTGTGACTTCTGTGGGTTATAGATCAGACCCTTACATTTTAGTTGTGGAGAATAATTATGACAAACTTAGCCTACTTCTATTTTATTAGTTTCTAAATTCTATTTAAAAAAACAGAAATAGCCAGTTACAAGAAAGGGCAAGCTGTCACTTGCTTTCAGAAGTAGTACAGTGACATAAGCACTGGTTGTATAAACTACAGGTTGCACCTCTAAAATCCAGTGCATGGCTCAGCTGTGTTGGGGAGGAGAGTGTGAGCTAGCGCGCAGCTCAGCTGGGCTGTTGGGGGGGAGGGGGGAGGAGGGCAGGATGCTGGAGGTGGGAGGGGACTGAAATGATCTCTCTTGGACTGGAAAAAACCCTTATCTAGGACCAGTCAGGTCTTGAGGGTGCCGGACGAGGGAGGTCCAACCTGTACAACATATATTCAACAATTCCCTAGGCATCGATCCTAAAAAAAAAGTATGCATGAATTTAACTTTGAGCTTGTGTATACAAAAGCTGGGGTGCAAAAGTACATTGCATTAGCCTGAAGTGCACTAAGAATCCATTCTGGACACTGAAAGTTCTGTAAGGTATTTTTGTTTACCCTGCTTTGAAACTGGAATAGATCAAAGTGAACGACAGAACTTTCAGTGTGCAGAACCAGGATCCACACCAACACTTAGTGCTCAGCAGGCTAGAGCAGAGAGGATTTACACCCCAGCCTGCCACAAATTAACTGTTCCCACAGAGAAGCCCTTTAAGCACACATAGGCTCATTAAAATCAATTAAACATAAGCACTCACTTAAGTGCTCTGTTGAACTGAGGCCTTGATGTTCAGTTGCAGGCAATTAATAGGTTGCCATTCCATACTCTTCACTCAAGTTATTCTGTGTACATTTCAGTGATATGTTAGCCACAAAATAGTGATACAAATATTTAATTATCACTGAAATACTAGGCTTTTCACATATTCTGTGGTTCTTCTGATACAGAAAGAAAGCTGATATAGCTTTAATCCCACTGTAAATTCTTTGAGCAGGGACTATTTTTTATTATTTGTCTGAACACCAATGCCAATGTGGCCTTGACTTGGCAATTACATACTACTGTAATATTTTTCAAAACAGGCTAATCTGTTTTGCTCATTTTTGGATTAAGTGCAACACACAGTTCATAAAATTAGACCAACCAAGGAGCATGACTCAAGAACTTGAAGCATCTGGGTTTTACTGCAATATGAGAATTCAATTGTATGTACATTTTAAGTATGGTAATACTCCTGAAATCTAAGCAGAGTGAAGACAAATTCTCCCCTCCTTACAAAAATCAGCCTGATTTCTCTCCTACATACACATTCTTCTTCCAAAACAAACAAACTAAAAACCCTTAAAAACAATGAATGGTTCTGCAGCACCTTAGAGATTAACAAAAAATGTAGACGGTATCCTGGTCTTTCGTGGGCACAACCCACAAAGAAGTGGGTTGTGTCCATGAAAGCTCATGATCAGTGTTCCTTCTGTGATGTGAGGCAGCACAGCTTCACAGGTGATTACTCATTTCCACTGAGTCAGAAGCTCAGGTCTCCTTGCCTGGAGCTGATTAATCGCCTGTGAAGCTGTGCTGCCACGCAGCTTAGCAGTAACATTGCTCATGATACCATCTACATTTTTTGTTAGTCTCTAGGGTGCTGCAGGACCATTAGTTGTTTTTTAATTTTTTTCAGTTACAGACTAACATGGCTACCCCTCTGATTCTGATCAAAGTACTGATTAGAATGTTTCCATAATCCACTTTTTGTACATAAAAGTAAAAATTAGGAAAAAACAAATTTAAAAATTGCATATATCAGTACTGTTTCAATAACTTGCCTCAGTTGTGACAACCCTAAATAGAGTTTTAGAGATTAAATGAAATATGTCACATGTAAATTTATTTCACTATGGGTACGTACGTCTACACTTGCTCCCTAGTTCGAGCTAGGGATGAAAATGTAGGTGACCGAAATTGCTAATGAAGCAGGGATTTAAATATCCCACGCTTCATTAGCATGATCTTGCCGGCGCGTTACTCTGCTCAACAGCTGATTCGAACCAGGAAGTGCGCGTTAGTTCGAACCAAACCCCTTGGTTCAAACTAACATTACTCCTCATTTTTAATCCTAGGATTGAAAACGAGGAGTAACGTTAGTTCGAACCAAGGGGTTTGGTTCAAACTAATGAGTCCCGGCACGCACTTCCTGGTTCGAATCAGCTGTTCAGCGGAGTAACGTGCCAGCGAGATCATGCTAATGAAGCATGGGATATTTAAATCCCCGCTTCATTAGCAATTTCGGTTGCCTACATTTGCATCCCTAGCTCAAACTAGGGAGCAAGTGTAGACATACCCTATGGGTATGTCTACACTACCCCGCTAGTTCGAACTAGGGGGGTAATGTAGGCATACCGCACTTGCAAATGAAGCCTGGGATTTGAATTTCCTGGGCTTCATTTGCATAAGCGGGGAGCCGCCGAACCCCGTGCCGCGCGGCTACACGCGGCATGAACTAGGTAGTTCGAACTAGGCTTCCTAGTTCGAACTACCGTTACTCCTCGTGGAATGAGGGGTTCGAACGAGCGGGGTTTTAAAAATGGCGGCTCCCCGCTTATGCAAATGAAGCCCGGAAATTCAAATCCCGGGCTTCATTTGCAAGTGCGGTATGCCTACATTACCCTCCTAGTTCGAACTAGGAGGGTAGTGTAGACATACCCTTCGATATTTATTTAGTTCACTTCTCTCTTTAAATTCAGGTTTCTTTTTGTATGCCCAACAAGCTTGGTAGATACCAGACCATATGCTTTGAAATTTAGTCTGGATTTACATTAAATATATAAATTATCTTTTCCCACTTTTCTCTTAAAATGGCCCTTCTTTAAAATGCAATCAAAACCACAAAACAATTCACTTCCCAATTATCCTCCCTTAAAAAAAAACCTTACAGCAAGGCACTTACTTTTTGTTAAAGACAGATGGATATTTTTTGTTATTTTAAAAACTTTCATTTGAAAAAAAATATTACAGCAAAGGTCCCAATTCTGCAAATTACTCCATGTGGGAAGATCCCCTACACAGTGACTGCCCCTAGAAAAACGAGCTCTGTGCAGGCATAAGAAATAACTGAATAATCAGGTCTTACATATTCTTCCTGGCCATTAGGTTTCTGATATTATTTAAAAGTCTGGTTTAAAAAATTCTTATACAATGAAGAAAAGTACTACAAAGGTCTGGAGAAGTCAAATTTAGGTACATTTAATGATTTTGTTATTAGTATTGTTTGAAATTTGAAGTATGAATGTGCTAAAAAAGTATACTTTAAAAGCACATTAATACTTACGTTTTTTTCTCTACTTTTTCCAATAGACAAACATGTAATAATACCTATGGAACAAATAAGAGTGAAGCAATCACAAATTTTTGAAATGCATACTGTGGGAAGGGATTGCTAAATACCTTTACAACCACAAGTAAGGTTGGCTAAGATAGCCAACACCAATCTACTCATTTTTCACAACTTACTTTGCTTGCTTCATGCAAAAACCACAGCTTTATCAAAGACACGGTTTACTACCACCCATAAGTTGAGTAAAGCTAAAAGTTATAAAACTCAAAGTTTTTGCAGAGGTAAAAAAAAACCCACAATAATGTTTGCCAAGTTTAAACAATGCTGCTTTGCATTCCCTTTTTTGTGTTAGGACAGCTCTATGCAAATTATGCAAATACGTATTTTCAATGGTACTAGTTTTCATGTTAAAAAAGTAAATTGCTTGTGACAAAAAAAAAAAAGAGATT